TTTATGATCGTGAGTTCAGCCATAAGTGTTCTTGCCAATGACTTATCCGCGGAACGGAAATGTTCTTCCATAAGTAAAAGGTGTGCTTTCGCATCCACTATCGGGAAGAGTTGACTTGATGTTGTTGGCAATCGTCGTTCGCATAAAGCTCAAACATAATCTGTTAGACCTGTCACAAGCCTTACAGTTTGATTTCTCAGACTCACTAGCTACTTTGATCATTAATGTCAGCGGATCTTTCATCAAGCAAAGCCAAGTCAATATCCAAAACACCTAAATGGAAATTGACTTGCTCACGCCATTCAAAGAAATTCAAACCATTGAAGACAGTAACAGAAGAAGCTTGCGATTGAAGATAGACATGCACAATCATAATTGCTCACTTAATTAATAGATTCAGAAAATACATTCGTAAAATATATTGCAGGCCTCATTTGGGTAAACTCAACAATACATATCATCATCATAAGTCGAATGTCATTTAACATTTAATGAGAAATTAAATAAACTTCGTCTAACATACATAGTATCTTTGGATATCTATATACGCTCGACAAAAGGATATTATATTTCTCCTTAATGTTTATTAGTTATAGAACATTGATTCACCTTTGGGTAAATCCATAATTTCTAACAACCAATAAACTCATTATCTTAAATAATGACATTCTCAAGAGAACATGAATTATATGACCAAACATTAGAAAATTAAGTCGGCCACTTTGGTGACTAACAAATTAATCTTCTCTTAATGTCATATAATAAACAATTATAACGATAAAATTATATGACCGAACATTAAAAATTATTTAGGCCACTTTGGTGACTAACAAATTAATTTTATCTTAATGTCATATAATTGCAAATAATTGTAACAATAATATTATATGACCAGACATTAAAAAATTAGTTAGGCCACTTTAGTGACTAACAAATTAATTTTGTCTTAATGTCATATAATAAAAGATTCATAACGATAAATTATATGACCAAACATTAAAAATTAATTAGGCCATTTTGGTGACTAACAAATTAATTTTGCCTTAATGTCATATAATATAATAAGCATTATAAATCCCAACTTAATATGCAAATATAAGCATTCCTTTCTGTGCATAATCTCATAAGGCACCAATCCAAATAAAACATGATAATTGCATAATACATATTAATGGGATATAGCATACATATTTACCAAGTTAACAAAATCCCATAAGGTCAATTCTCATAAATTCAGTCATCATCATAATAGCAAAGCTCCAGGAAATAATTCTCATAAGAGAACAATGATGTGGCAATATATTTTGGTCACCCAGCAAATAATTATCCAAGCATTGGAATTCGAGAATGGAGATGCTAGTGATGCATAAAATTTGTGAGCTTGATGCGTAATTCACAAATATATACATCAGGTTTCAGACGGAGAATTCATCATAAGCGGAATCAAATTTCATATAACATAAGATTGATGCGGACAAAATATGCATCCAGTACGATCGGACAAAATATTTAAGTCATCATACGATCATACTCATGATTCATACACAAATTATTTATTCACAACACATACTCTGATACCACATGTAAACTTCATTAAGGATCTTGAATAAATAATTTGGTGTATACGAATTACTTACTTGATGCGGAAGACGAAATGATTTGTGATCTTGATCTTGATGATCACACGGGGTTGAATCGATTGGTAGATTTAAATTAGTTTTTTCCTCCTGACCTTCTCTTAACGTAGCAGAAAACTGATGGGAAAAACTGCATAGGAAGAGCGAGGACTAATTTATATAGAGGTGGCTTTAGATCTGGTACGTCCATCAAGTATCCAGATTAATGGCTTAGATTTGTTTGACTATTAAATAAAGGCCTAGCCCAATAAGATAATTAAATATGAACCCAATACTTTCGGGCCACATATATTCTTACACTACACTCTCACACACACGAAACTAAGGGTAATTTATATATAAAAAAAAAAATAAAAAAAACAAGTAGACAAAAAAGAAAATATTATGGACAAAACTCAAAAACCCGCATTCTCATAATACGTTTTTTTAATTAATTTTTTAAAAAAAACGTATTCTCGTGATACGTTTTAAATTTATATTTGCAATGTAAAACGTATTATCAGAATACGAGTTTTTGATTTTTGTTCACATTTTTTTTTTGTCTAGTTAATCTTTTTTTTTTTGGGATAAAAAAATCCACAAAACTAGTCACATGACTAAAAACAAAAAGAGAAAGAGGACCACAAATCTTGAACTTCATATCTAATAAATCTGAAATGGACTCGAACGTCTAACCAAATGTGACATACACAAAATTGCGTGTCTAAAAGTTTGTAGCATGATGAGAGAACAAAGCCGAACAACCCCCTGACTCGCAATGGACGAGGAGATTGAAGGAAATAGAGATGGATCTTGTTACATGAGTCATGACTTGCATTCCAACGTATTACTCATTTGCATTAAATATTCACTTAAAAAAAAAAAAGGAAAAGAAAAAAAGAAAAATAGGAAAAAGGAAAAAAACGAAGCGATGAAATGAACAAATGAAGCTAAGTCCGGCTTAACCTGATTCTGGTTTGGATAGACGGGTTTGATTCGGGCCAACGCTGCCCAACCCACTCATTCGGATAATTTCATTTTATTTATCGGTAATTTCAATTTTATTAATTCATCGCGTCGTTCCTCCCCCCATAAAGAAAACCCTAATTAAAATCCTCTCGTCGTCTTTACTATCTCCAGCGCAAAAAAATGTCTTCGAAGAGAATCGGACCACCGCCTTCGGACGCCGGAATCCTCTCCCGCGTGTCGTCCTCCGTCTCCCAGTCTCCCATAGTGTACCACGGCAAGAAGGCCGCCGCCGACACCGCCTTCGTGGCGAAGAAGCTGTTGAGGAGCACCGGAAAAGCCGCGTGGATCGCGGGGACCACCTTCCTCGTCCTGGTCGTGCCGCTGATCATCGAGATGGATCGCGAGCAGCAGTTCAACGAGCTCGAGCTGCAGCAGGCTAGCTTGCTCGGCGGCCCCCCTGCTAAGTAATTTTTGTGCGTCCTCGATAATTTGGTGGTTGAGTGAATTTTTACTTGAATCCAGCAATCTATTGCCTTCCCTTTCCTCGCATTTCTTTTTTTCCCCTTCTTGTTGGACAAATTTAAGTAAGGCTTTTAGGGTTGTAATAGTAGAACTCATTGAATCATGACCATGTTTTAAAAATTTGATTACTATGGTTCATTGTCTTGATTGATCGTTTAGTCTGGATTTGGTGCCTTGTGCATATGTGAATTTTCAGTGACTCTCTCTTTTGCTGGAGAAATTGGTATCATTTAGACTGTTATTGCTTAAAATTGATTGAAATATAGAATAGCGATGCTAAGGGAAAGCAAATTATAGTATATTCTTCAAAGTGGTTGTTCATGAATTTCTAAGGAGATAGGTAGAAATGATTTTCTCAGTCCCAATGGAGATGTATGAAACAAAGAGATGGGAATGAATTTACTTCACTACCCCAAGGAAAATATGATCCATGGGTTTTTGTTGGTAATATAGTTTATGTGCACAGGGAATTACAAAATGGTTTCAGGAATACCGATTATGGTGTATATGGAATCCCGCTACCTTTTGTTTCAACACTTTTTTGGTAACCCAGATTGTGATTGCTTTGACGATCAATGCATTGGAACCTTGGTGATAATTTCAATTGAGAAGCTACATGTAATTTGACATGTGTTTTCGTGCTTTGCCCTTTGTTAATCTGTTTTGTATTACTCTTATGTCATCTTTCAACAACCTCAGCTAACTATTTAAACATGACAATTGATTCCCGTTGTTAATTTGACTGATGAATTTTGGCTACATGTTGCATGATGATGAAAAAAATCAGCTTTTGCGCGCAGTTTAGTGGTTTTCATTATATTTTGAAGCTTTCAAATCGGTTCATTTGTTCTTATTTTGTTTGAATGCGCTTTCTCAGGAATTTGCCATGATTTTATGGCAGTAGTAAATATGCAAGTAAAAACTGTTATGTTGATTCCAGCATATGCGTGCGTACTAGTTGAGACACGATTTTGTTGCTCTTTTGAGTTATTTAATAAGTTTTGTGTATGATTGTATTGTCGTGTTCTTACCCTGCCAACCGGCACACTTTTATGTTGCTCTCATGCTCTGTTGAGTTATATAGCAAGTTTTGAGTATGATTTTGTCATTGCGTTCTTACCTTGCCAATCTACACACGTTTTTGTGGCTCTGTTGAGTTATATAGCATGTTTTGAGTATGATTTTGTCACTGTGTTCTTACACTGCCAATGGAACTTAACGATAAAGTTCACTGTTTGTGTTTGCACATTTGGAAGCTTGAGCAAGTGAATTTACAACTTGAGATCACTTTGAACTTATATGTTGGACTTCTCCACCATTTACAACATATTAGCAGAATGAGAGTTTTGCCCCATGGTGCTCCTATCTTTGTTCAGTGTTAGATAGTCTTTCGAGTTGAGAACGACACCTTTACGGAGGGAATAAAGCCCCCTACTACAACTTTGAGAAAAATATTTTGAGTTAGTTTGTACCCAAAATTACATACATGTTCATCTTCCTTGGTCTGAGTCCTAATTCATAGGCTTAATCCATATGTTCCATATTTTCAATTTGCTGATGATGGGCCTAGTATATCTCTCTAATGGCTATGGATGGATTCAAGTGTAACGTCTTGTAAAAGACTACTATTAATTATGACAAAATTATACAAATTTAGACAGACAGTGGCTCAATTACGTCTGCCTCAATTATTAACGTGAGTTTCTCATTATATTAGATTGTAATTGCTTGTAATTGCTGTTTTAGTACATGTGATGATTGAGACGCCAAATTACCCCACCCAATAATATACTAATGCTGGAAAAGTTAAATTATTTTCCAACAAGTTTGTGCTCAAGCTTATAGAGTGAGCAAATATGATAAGCTTTTTTATAATAAAGCAACTACGCGTTACCACATTCTCAATTTTTTATATTACGTTCATTACCTTACATAAAGAAACAATCTTTTTATACTAATGCCTACCAACTTTACTCTGAAATTGACAACCCTCAAATTTTAATTCCGCAAAAGGAAAAGAGGAGAAAAAGAAAAAGAACTACATTGCCAAAACTTGGAGAGGAAGAAAAACTTTACAGCTAGTAACAAAGAGAAGCAAGTGTTTCCCCCCTTTACATACCCAATTCAATTTTTTTTCTTCTGTACTTAAATATAAATATTAGTTATACCATCTAATGCCAACCAAAATCTCATGACTGCACGCCGTGGAAAGGCACCCGGACAATTTTTCCCTGCCAAAAAATTTGACTCAATCATGGACAATTTTTCCCTGCCAAAAGACGGTAAAATTTGACTCAATCATACACAAAACGGTAGGTCTTCTCTTAGCTTTGGGCTGCCTAATTGTTAGATATGCATATTCTCCCAACAATACACTACTTTCATACATTTTTTTGTAAAAAACACATCAATTGTGTATACTAAAATTAGTTAAATCACAGCAGCCATCAAGGCCATAATCACACCAACAATAAAATTAGCTTAATATTTATATATAATTGAGACTAACCTGTGTTATCATCCACCATACTTGCCAGCATAAGGCTTTTTCTTGAAAGCTGATCTTGTGAACAACAAGCAAGCCATTACCAGGCCAACACCCACCAGTCCTCCGAGCACAAGAGCTACCGTTTTCTGCGTGTTTCTCCCTGCAGACCCTTCCCCTCCACCTGAGCACATCCATCACACAAAATTAAAATACGGAAAGAAAAGTACGTACATTCGCTACATTATATAGACATTCAATCATGTAACTAGAATCACTATCCGAATCATTATTTCAACATACAAATTTAGTAAAATCAGTAGCTCTTCTATTAGGTTGTCTAATGGTTCGACAGTCGTTCTCTTCCAACAAATATACATACTTCAACAATCAAATTTCATACTTTAGTTTACAAGCAAAAATACACTTCATAATATAAGTGTTCATTTTTACAAATATATATATGGTTGCCTAACCGTTAAGCAGCATAGCACAAACATTTGTGTAGTAAAATTAGCTGCAAAAATGCATAAATAAGCTCCACCAACACTAAGAACAGTCCTTCATATTTGTTATAGATAAAATATGCTCCTATCACAATTGTAAAATGCCATTGATCTTAATTCTTACTTTTCTATTTTGACAAATTGGAGAGTGTTAATAATTTTCAGTTAGACTAAACTAAACCCATGGATTGTAATTATCTTCCAACCAAAAATTAAAAAAAAATAAAAAATGAAAGAAAACAAACAAGTTTTTTTGTATTTTTTGCATGTATTCAACCATCCATTGCCTTTTAAACTAAACCATGTAACTAATATCACCATCAAAATCTTGATTTCTAACATATGAATTTAGTAAACTTAGTTGCAAAAATGCCTAAGTATATGCTCCACCAACACTAACACAGCCCTTCAAACTTGTTAAAGATAACACATGCTCATAATTTTCAGTTGGACTAACTAAACCCATGACTTGTTTATTCACTTGAACCCAAAAATGTCAATAAATGAGCGCAGTGGAAGCAAAAAAAAAAAAATCCAAATAAAACACAATGAACCATTTTATTCGTTTTTCGTTTTTTATTTTCCATTTTTTACCTGACGGTGAATATGGCTGCTGTCGGTTGGGAACGCCGCTGGGGTAATAGGTGTAGCTGATATAACACGCCTGAAGGTAAATCTGCGCCGAAACCGAGCCACCGCAGACGGAATTGGACCTGTCAATCGCACTTTTCACACAGTCCGCGCAGTCTCCGCCGCTCAAATCACCTTCGCACTGACCCAGCACATACACCGACTGATACGCACCCGCGTAGTACCCGCCGTTGGCCACGCCCTTAACCACCTCCCCCAGAGCCGAGTCGAGCAGGGTCTCGAACCCTGAACCGGACGGCTTGCTCGATCCGCAAACCTTGTACAGCAGCTCGGTCCCGCTCACCTGCCGGAACCCCGAGATCTCGTACCTGAGGTAGCATCCGTTGAGCTGGACCCGCGCCGCCATCGCGTCGCCGCAGAGCCTCCTCGCGAGGCCCCTGGCACGCTCGACGCATCCGCGGCAGCTCCCCTGGGAGAGGTCTCCTCGGCATTGGAAGAGTCCGTTGAGGGCGGAGGGGGATCCGTCTCCGGCTGTCGATTTGTGGAACTTCGCGGCGGAGGACTGGGAGATCAGGGAGGCGAGGAGAGTGTCGAGTGTCTGCTTGTAGACGGCGTTGAAGTTCTGGAAGCTCTGGTCGGCGCAGCCCTTGAAGACCAGAGCCGAGATGTCGTCGGCGGAGGAGGAGGAGCGGAGGAGAGAGAGGAGGGTTATTAGAGAGAGAAAGAGGAGCGATTGGGAAGGACAGGGACCCATTTGGAATGATTATTGGGTGAGTGGAAATTTGTGAGATGATAATTTGGGGAGGTTTTTTTATTTATTTATTTATTGAACTGTGGATGGTTTCTAGAATTATTTTTTTTGGAGCTTATGTGTGTGTAATAGTGTGAGAGAGAGAAGTGTGTGGGTGGCAGCAACTTTTTGATTTTGAGAGTACCTATATTCGCACTGGCAAGCTTACAGTTGGCAACGTTTATTTGTACAATTATAAATAATTTAAAAGTTTTTACACGGTCAAAATATTTAATTGAGTATATATTCAAATTATTAAAAAATTAGTTATGCATTTGTACGGCGAAATATTAAAAATGTAATTAATTAAAAATACAAAAATAAAGTAAAAATCATGATTCAATCAATAAAAAAATGAATTAAAGAAATAATTTCAAATATTATTATAAACTTTTTTATATACGATATTCGTAATTTTCCTATCGTCATATTCACATCATCAAAAACCATTATCTTCTCATCCGATTCGCGATTTTGGAAAGAGCAATGTACAACTCATGACAGAAACAAGGTTCTTCACTAGTAAGTTGATTGTGCGACAGATATTGACTTTGACTCTTATTGATTGTCATATCAATAAAAAATTGTGATATAAATCTGTTTGCGCCAAGGTTATTAAAACCGAACCGATCAAACTACTGGTTCAATGGTTCACTGGTCCGACCAGTGATTAAACCTGTTGGACTTGTGTTTAATTTTTTAATATTTTTAAACATTTATAAAATTTATATATGAAATTTTGTTAATTAAATATAAGTTAATTTAAAAAATTCAAATACTTAAAATAACTAATAATAACCTATATATATCAATTATATTGAAATATGTATTTTTTATTTATATTAAAAATATTTTTAAATATATTAATAATTATTTTTAAAAACAAAAACTAGACCGGTTCAACCAGTTCAATCGGACCAGTTTTTGGCCGGTTCTGACCGATTTTTTACTAGTTCGTTGGCAACCAGTTTTTTCTAGCGAACCAGACCGGTCAACTGACCAGTTCCCGGTCCAACCGATCGGACCGCCCGATTTAATCTGATTTTCTAAACTATGGTATGTGCTGAAACTTGACGATACCCTCAAATCGAATGGTATAATTGTGAGCCTATGGATAAGAACCTTATCACCAGGCACCAGTTAAAATTTTGCATTTAAGGATATGACTGCTGAGCTTATTAACTAAATGTGTACTGTTGCACAACTCCATGGAATGATCAAATGTGCCTCAACAACATAACTAGAGTGTCGACCTTCAAGTGCAATTTATGATTCAAAAGTCCCGAGTACTTAATATCATTCACAAATTCAGGAGTATGAAGGTCGTAAAGAGAGTCATATCCATCATATGACTTGCAAGCGATATCCAAACTCAAATAAGTCCTTCATTCGAATGAATTCAATTAGCTCATTTTTTCGTTAACGGACTCAAGGACATCAATTATGGAAGCGAGTATTGTTTTGTCCTTCACATAGATAAGGTCGTCACTTGAACTCTTGAATATAGGGTATATACTTTCAACAATAGTAGCAATATGATTCTCTTGTTATTTAAGAACAATATCATCGAGAATGTCGATATCGGCACAAAATCCATCGGATGTACCATCCTCAATGCTTGCAAGCCTCTCCAAAAAGCGTCTCAACTCATTGTACTCATCACCCCCACCAAGGCTTTGAAACCTCGTACTCCAAGCCAGTCTCAGAACGATACAGTTTTGCCACAACTTGGATGAATTGATCGCGGCATTCAATGTGTCACTTCGATTGCCTTTAGGGACAATAGATTATATCTGTCTAAAATAGCCACCAAATACAATAGACTTGCCACCAAATGAGTATTTTTTTCCTTGATAGATCCACTACATCGAGTAAGGTTCGTAAGGTGTTGTTAATCGCCTGGAAGTAATACTTATTCATCATCGGGACTTATCCCAAATCATCAACGGACATCTTATAATCAGTTCATCCAAAAGACTTTGTTGGCTAATGTCACATGTAGATTCTTCCATTGGGTTTAGTAGGATTTTGAATTGAGAATACACAGTGCGTTTGTCGGATAGCAAAAGTAATGCAATACCGCTCGATGCAACGTTCAACACAATTTTGTCCTTGGACCTCAAAGCATGAGAGAACACCATCCAGACGAACATTTTACCGGTGGCGTCATAACCATTAAAAATGTGGTCATGGTTATGGTAAACCGAGTCCATTATCAAACTATAAACATTGCATTGCTCATCAGTCATATTAGAAACCGACTCCTGATTCTCAATTGGGAGTGCACGATGATCGTAATTCAACTTGTCCATCACCAATCTATTTGTGGATATCTCATTACAACTGAGATTAGCAAAAAGCATTATACCATATTCGTCTAAACTCATCACAAGTCTGTGCAAATTCTTTTTAACCTCTGCCGAAGCGAGAATTTTTACTTTCTCATGGCTCATCTCCAATTTTGAAACAACAATATAAAAATTTTATTAATATAAAGACATAAAAGAAAAAGGAAAAAAAAAGTAGCTAACAATAATTGATTCGGTTATTTGGGTGCTGTAAAATTCTCCGACGATTACATAATATATCCTACGATTGATAAGGCTATCAGCACTCTACACAAACTCCAATCGACCAATAGTATCAGTAGACAACAAAATTGCAAAGAGGTTTCTCAAAGAATTTGCGCTCGACCATTGACTTGCCTCAATAATTCATTCAATACACTCTTAGTCGTCCTTCATCAGACCGAGGGAAAAAATAATGCGAAGAATACAAATTGTTACGCACAATTTAATTCAATCCATTTTTATTGAGCATATATTTTATTTCGGGCTCTAAAGCACGAGTCAAGACCAATGGGCCATAAATTCGGGCAAATAATTGTGTCGATTTGCTCGTGTATTTGCAATGTTGATTTGTCGATCCAGTGTGGAAGAAAAGCGACCACTCTGTGTGAATAGAAATTGAAAAAGCTACCACCCAACAAATCTCATCATCAAAAGTAGTGCTGACACGTGTCCTCGTGCATGCGGCCTCTCCAGACACGTGCCTATCAAACATACTCTTACCTGACATGTTGTAATCATTGTATTTATTTTCATATATTGTATAAATTCATTGAAGTGTACGTTATCACGGACCATGAAATTTATTATTTACAAAACATACCAAAGAGCAATAAACTCTATTGTCGATCTCAATTTCTTCGGCGATCATACATTTTACGTCCCTTGTCCATTTTCATTTACTAATATGTGCTTATAATTGTTTGGTAACTTCGTCTTATTAACAAATTGGCGCTAGAATGAAGGCTCATTTAAGGTTTGGTGAATCTTCGATTGTTTATTAACTAACATACACTGTTGTGGCCACTTAAAAATACTATGTCTTCATCCAACCATTCCGATGACAACTTTGATAATCAAGATAATTCTCCTCCTCTCACCGACGTCAGTCAAAATTTTAATAATCATGCCTTAAAGGCATTACCGATCTCTTCAACCAGATGCTCCACAATATGCCCATAGTATTGTTAGTGTTATATACTGAAAGCTTGGCTTTGTATGATATTACACATTTACCCTTTATGAATGAGAATCATGTTAGATTAAACAAGTTCTACGTTCTGTTGTTCTGCACTTAGATAGGGTGGGTCGTCATCGGGCGAACCGAAGATCACTCTATCAGTTACTTGCGAACAAGAATAGTTGTTTACAACCTAGATGGACATGAACACCCCATCCGAACGGTTGTAGTGTCAACTGTACAGTTTGTCTTGACTGATTAGTTGCACTAGTACATTTATGTATTGAACAGGATCCCAGAGAGGAGAAGTTCATTTTATACTGATCGTCGTAAATGAACTAGGCCTCGGTTAATTACTGCGTTCTCTTAACCCGTAAGATATTAAACAGGCAGATATATATAATATATATTACTTTGATTCACATGGGTGAGGTTCAGTTCGCTGGATTAATATTCCTACTGTTTTGGGTAATATTATTATATATAGGATGTGCTGTTAGGATATTTACGGTCACCATGTGCGTTAGTTTGATGATGTCCCCGGAGTGAGTTCATGAAGGATTGTTATGCTAAACCCTGCAGGTGGATTAAGTTCCGGCATAATAAGAATGTGATGAACGAGCGCTAGCTTCGGTGAAATAATAATAAATTAATTAATTCTTGATTGTCAGTAATCGAATTAATTAATGGACATTATATCTTAAACGTGGGGAGGTAAATCGAGTAATTATTATTGGAGTCTCAAATGTAATTTGGGCTATGAAGAGGGAGTGCAATAATATAATGTTGGTGGCCCATTAATATTATTTAATTAATTAGAGGAGTGGGCTTGGCCCACAGTTAGTCTAATTAATTAAGAAGCCCTTTTCTTAATCTCCTTAGGGTCCCTACTGTAGCTCTATATATACATCATTAAGCTCATGAGAAGAGGACAGAAGTCTCATTCACACGAGATACACGCCTCACACGCCTCTCTCTCTCTAGATCTCATTCGAGCTTTATCTTCTTCTTGTTGCTCCACTGGTACAAGTTGAAGAAGGGTGTATTGAGTAATACAGTAGAAGATCTGTAGGTAAACCGAGACGAAATAAATTTTGACCTACAGAACTAACCGGAAGTCCGATTGAGACGTACAGTATACCCAGACGACCGTCTCGACGAGAGATTTCCATCGCCGCCAACGTCGCCGGAATCCGACTCCGCACGCGCCCTCACGCGTCGCCGGAAGGTGTCTGGCAGCAAAATTTCGTTTTGATCTGTTTGCATCCGTTTGATCCAGTTTTGATCTGATCTTGTTCGTGCAACCCAAGACGCGTGTTGCGGTCAATCAATTGCGGTCAACCGTTCGTGGTCAACCAGATCTACATAAATTTTAAGCCGTAATTTCTCTACGTCAAACCTTTAGATCCGTTGCGCATAGGTTTACGTTTGCTATTGAATTCGTGATTTGTACATAACGAGATCCTCACAGATCCCAACAAGTATTCCCCTCATAAGCCTATTCCCAAGAACCCGCAACCACAAATGTCAATACCGGGAAGACAACTCCCACGATCTTCTTATGGTCAATAAAAAGAACAAGCATAAGGTTGAGTACTGACCGCGCGTCGCGACGCGACAAATTTAAATTTATAAAGTTTTCCTATACTAACCTCTACTAACTAGTAGTAGCGGCGAGTAAGGGTCGATCCCACGAGGAGCAGGAATTAAATCGTGATAATTTTGTATTAATTGAACTCAACTAAGAAAGAAAATAAGGGGGGGATTGATTTTATAAAAATAAAAATAAGAAAATAAAATAAAGATCAAATAAAATAAGAGAAGTCCAGTTTTCGGTTCAGTTATCACCCAATCTCAATCTACCGTTAATTAATTTCGACGCTTTCTTTAAACTGTTAATGAATTACCAACCCTAGCTAACAACAAACTCTGTTAACTGAATTTTCCCTTACCGAATATTTAATCGAAATAGGCTCTCCGACTAAACCTAACTAGTGGACAACCTAGAATAAGCTCTCTAGATTTAGTGCACTAGCAGCATTAATTTTTAGGAAAATAGATTAGTCTAAGCAACGGACACAAAAGCTCGGACCATTTAACTTATGCTCATGCTACCCTAGAGATGCACGACCCCTAGTTTACTACTAAGGAAACGAGACAATAACAATTACGGATTAAAGCCTCGAATCTAGCAATTAAATCATGGATATTCAACCTAGCTGGCCAAACCAAATCAAACACCATAATTCATAAACATTAAACACAGATAGCATGAATCAACTCATCAACAAAATAAATACGACGTTTCGATTAACTAAAGATAAATAAAGATCATCCAATTCATAGACAAATCGGAATTAGGGTTCAAACATCTTCTCAAACTGGATAAAAATACTAGCCTATCATACTAATAAAAATAAAGAAAAGATAAAAAGGAGAAAATATAATCTCCCTCGTATACGCGTGCGGCTTCCTCCGCGTGTGTAGCCTCTTTTCCGATCCGTGCAGAGTTCTTCTCCTGGTGTGTCTTCTTTTCTATCCGCGGTTACTGCGTCTCTTGCAACTCCTCCAAAATAAATCCCTGAGACTCCCGCTTATGCGGCTGTAAGTTCCTCTCAGTACGACTCCACGCAAATAATCCTTCGTCCAAATATATGGCCCACTTGCCACGTAACCTGTTAGTTTGGCAAATAAATCCTCCTAGAGTTTTTCATTGGGCTGCGTGAGTCATGTTGCATGTAAATTCAATTTAATTCCCCTCCTCAATTATGAAGCTCACGACCCAACTAAAAGGAAATTCAAATTCCCAAGAATAATTGCTTTAGTGGGCTTTCAAATGTTTTAATGTGCTGTCGGCCTTAATGGGTCTTGCTTGATCCAGCATTCGGGCACTCCGATAAATACTACTTGAACTCTCGTCAACAGCTTTGTCATTCACAAAATACTCTAATATACTGAAAATAAACATAAAAATATTAATGTATATGAATCCATCCAAATAATAAATAACACGGAAAATATAAACGTGCGAATAAATTAAGTGTATAAAAATAAACTATTAAATATATAATACGCGCACATTTTTCGCCCTATCAAGTACCTAACTAAGTTTCACGAAGGTGTGGGCGAATGACATGCTCGCTCAGGTGCCACAATGAGTTCGAGTTTGCCCAATGTGATTAAAAGGAAAAATAAGAACAATACGTAAGCTCAACAATTAACTAAAATGATAAAGATGGGGAATAAAATGATTATGATGTGTAGTTATGCCCATGGTTGTCAAAATCAGACTGAACCGTCCGGTCTGACCATTTAGATCATAAATCGGTCAGTTGGCTAGTATGGTCCACTGGATTGAACCGGATCACAGCGAACCGACCAAAAACCGATCAACGATTCAAATATTTTTTCTTAAGAAATAAGTTTTAGTATATCTAAGAATAATTTTGATATAAATAAAAGTACATATTCAAATATAACATATACATATATATATATATAAGTTAGTTATTATTTAGTTTAAGTATATGAATGTTTCAACTGACTAAATATTTAATAACAAAGTTTTTATATATAACTTTTATTATATGAAATATTATATATATTTAAGAATAGTAATAAATTAAATATCGGTCCAACCGGTTTTACCACTTGTCGGACTAGTGTGAACCATTGAACCAGTAGTTTGACAGATTTGATAATCGATCCAATTTTGAGAACATTGTTTTTGCTCTCCAAGATCTTCTTCTCAAATTTTCTACATCTACTGTGATCTTTTTCCATCTTTTCCAAATTGCAACAAGGTTTGCCAAAGTCTCCTTGTATAAGTTATGTGAAAATCATGTTGAAAAATGTATGAAACGCGTCAACAATGAAAAAAAAAATCATCTAATTAACTCTCATCACACGAACCGTGTGGCTCATTGTACAATACCACATAACTAGTGTAAGGGCATGGTATCCAGAATTATCTCGAGTCGCCATCCTCAAAGTCAACGTTCACATGCCACACGACTCATGCGATTTGACTCTTATAGGTTGAGGTGCGTGGACCCGAGAAAAGGAAGGTACATGGTGTGCTTGGATATAAGTTTTTTTATTGAATATTTTGGTTTTGATTGATTTTTTTGGTTAATGGGAGTTAAGTTTGAAAACCTTGGTTGAATCAAATTTGTGTGGAATATTAAATTTGTATTAAAATAATATTTAATATAAAATAATTAAAGTTGATTTGATGTAAAAGTAGTAGATATGTGGTTGAAAGTGACGAGTAGTTAAAATTATGTGACTGAATGAATAACAAATTAATATTCGAACATGTGCATATGTATAGATGCAAATAATTTTTTATATGTTATATATGTGTATGTAATATTTTAAATCACAAATTAGATAATGAACATATTATAGTTTATAATTTATCATTTGTAAAAATAAACGATATAAAATATAATTTTTTTATTATTGTATAACTACAATACAAAATAAAAAATATTAGGTTTAAAGTAATTTAATATTGTATATTCAGAAAATTTAAAATATTGTAAAGCTGTTATAGAATAAAAAATTACTAATAATAAAGTTTTTCTTGTGTAACTGTCATTTGAATGCTGGTCATAAAGATTTTTATAAAATGAAGTCATATTTTTTATTAATTGCTGGCTGAATAAAATTAATTGAAGCTTGCCACCAATTATTTATATAGATTAAGGTTGATGTGATATGTAAAGATGATTGATTGATATTTCTAACTATTTTAGAATTTTTGTATCATATCATACTCTAATCCCCACATTTTAAATATTTTTTTCCAACATTTTATTATATATTTAAATAATATATATGTATATATTTAATATATTCCTATTTATCTTTTGAAAAAGAAAATTATTTTTTTCATCCAAAATAACACGTCCAAGTAGACAAAATAGAAAAAAAGAAAAG